GTATTCGTGCGCGTGCGAAATTATGCTGCTGCATTCATTTGTTTATTATTTAAAGTCAACATTAAACAATGATCGTCGAATTATGTCATGTTCATTCTTTATTCAGGAAATGAGTTATTGAAAGATTACACTACGATAAAAGTAAATGATCCCCTGTCGCTAGATTTCCTGTCGCTAAATAGTCAACTATCTCAAAAATCAAAACCAATAATATTACTGTTATAGGATAGAATGTAAAATATGTGATCGTAAAATGTTAACATAAACACTTTGAATATACAGTGTGTACTTTGCGTGAATCATTGGTTGTTCCCGTAATCTTATCAAGTATCAACCCACATGAACGGAAATTTGATCGAGTGATGCTGCATCGTCACTGGCTTATCTGTCGCGCTTTGGATCTCGGTTCGCGATTGATCTTCTAGGAAAACTCTCTAATAATAAATATTTTCATGATGTTAGTATCATGTGGCCGAAAGAAAACATCAATATGACTAAACTCTAAACTTTTAGAATAATAATTATAATAAATTTCTTCATGAAAGTTGTTGCGTTGTAATGATTGTTCTTATGATCCATTCTCTGGATGTTAGAATGGGTTAGGACCCGCTTTGCTGCAATGTGGCAGTGGTCGCAGGAGAAGGATGTGACTAATTAATTTACTGAATAATTTAATTTAATAGATCATTTTATAAAAGTTTGCATTTTTAAAAAATGGCTTACCAGCTACACCTTTTTTACGTCTGGTGGTAATAACTTTTCCTTATTGATATCATTTAAATGTGTTATACATCATTTATTACCGATTTTATGTTGACTGAAGAATTAAAAATTCGAAGGGATTTAGTAACACCGTGCAAATCAGGATGCTCCCGTTATAAGGCTCGTGTTTTCAATCAACTTTCTAACCCTAACCCTAAACAACTCTAAAGATGATGCACCGCTTTTGCACGTGTTTTGTCTATGGTCTACGGCGAATATGTTGATTTTGAGTTTATGGGAGAATGGGGTAATGACTAAGATAGCGACTTGGATGAACATTGA